GTTTTGTGACCAAAGGCTTCATCCTGCTCTTGTTGCCTGTGGGAGACAGATTCTGTCTTCAGAATTTGTGGCCCCAAAGTACTGTTTAGGTCAGGTGTGAGTGGGAGCCAGCCCACCAAGCCACTGGATCTGGCTGGCAGGCTACCTAATCAGCCCATAGGCCTCCCCGCCAAGACCTTCAGACACAGAGCAGCCAGTTTCTTCGGCACAGTCCCATGCCGCATTAAGCAGCTGGCTGCTCCTTGTGACTCTGCTGTGGGTGCCAGGTTGGAGGAGGAGGCTTTGTACGCTGCCCTGGCCCTCTAGCAAAATCTCTCAGCTTGGAAACTAGCCAATAGGAGCTTGGAAGCCAGCCAGTGGGAGCTGATTTTGCTGCGGGAGAGGAAGGTGCGGAGAGCAGCATGTGGACTCCCACCCTCTCTTCAGAGCAGAGAGCCACAGGGATCAGCCAATCTCAATAGCCTGAGGCTATTGCAGGCAGGAAGCCTGCCTCAGGGTCCAGCAGGGCTGTTGGCTGGAAGTTGCCTAGGTAAGTGACTCCTGGCCACAACCTGCCTCTGGTACCCTACCTCCTTTCTTCTCCCAACTGCCTGCCCCAAGTCACCACCAAAACCTTCTGCATCCCTCAGTTCCCCTCCTCCAGCTCACAACTGCCTCCCAAACTCTGCACCCCCTCTTACATCCTTCCCCCAGGCCAAAATTATCTCATGTGCCCAAACTCACTCTTAGACCCTACACCCCAATCCCTTGCCCGAGGTCTCAACCCCCTCCTTCACCCAAAGTCGGTCAGACCCCACACCCTGCACCTCAGTCTCCTAAGTTAAGCTCCCTTCCATCCCATGCCCCACAACCCCTCCATAATAAAGTACAGCCTTGACCACTTGCCAGAATCTTGCAGTAGCTGCCCCATCACAAATTATTGCCCACCCATGGTTTAGGTGCACAGATGTAGCTATTTTTATGCTGTGGCACATGGAGCTCAGTGAACACCTTTGATTCATACTGGGTGAATTTCCCTGGATAGCTTAGTTGCACTCTAATAGTGAATTAAGAAACTTTGTATCATTAATACAGTGGAGTTGAGTCCTAATTAGAGTTTAATTTGATGTCAATTTAAATTAAGAGGGCTTGCGTAAACTGGTCCGTTGTGACCTGGATAGTGCTAATCTCAATCAGTAGTCTGAATAGACATGAAATCAAATTCTCACAGTACAACAGAAATGACAGGAACAACTGACATCTTAAATTAAAATTACTAAATTCCAAGAAATTGATGTGCCTGACCCCAGCTACAGGATAGGTCATTAAATCACATCCATAGAAACTGAGCTGAGAAGCGTACTTTAATGATTCAGGAGAGAGAAGAAAATGCCTTGAGCATATTGGATAGGTGGAAACTAGCCAACAGATTCTTAGTTGAGAATTTGTGTATGTTAATGAAATAAAATTGAAGAAATAGGCCAACCCCCTCGAGATCTGTCTTTTTAATTTTAACAACTAAATGGGTACTCTCTTATGGTCACTTTTCATAACATTTTCATCCTTCTTTAGAATTCAGCAATATATTTGACATTCTGAATTTACCTTTCTTAGCAACGTTTTCCTTTCTTAAGGGTTCTGGTACATTGCTATTTTTATGTTGCCATATCACAGATTTAGGCATCATGGGTCACATCCTTATTATCAGCAGATGATCTGGCCCAGCATGATCATTTACCATTTCTTTTGCTATATGATTCTAAAGCAAGTGAAGAAAACTGATCACTGGTATCAAATCATCTTCCAGTATCAGAAATGCATCTCTAAATGTATCTATATACCATTGTGTGTGAGTGAGCGTGCGTGTATGCATGAAATAAAATAAATCTAAAATATTTTAAACCAAAACGTTTGGAAATATTTTTTAACGTCATCTGTTCAGGTATATAAAGGAACTTAATTGTTTTCCTGTTGTGGATAAAGAAATGACTAGAGCACTATTAAAAATGCCGTTTGACAGGAAAAGTACAGAAGCTTGAAGTTGGGTCTTCTCAGTTTACCTTTAAATGTAGCATTTGTTCCTTTTTAATGAATAGGTTAGTTTTTTTATCTTTTATACAGTGAACAGCGTGAATGAGGAGGTCTTCATTAGGGATGTTATGATTTGATGATTAAAATTAGAGATGGAAAAACTGGGCAAATTGGTAGAAACTATACTAAAGAAAAGAATGATCAGATGTAGATATACATGATTTATTGGGAAAAATCAACACAGTTTTTATAAAAGGGGAATTTTTGACTCATTCTTTGAGGTGTCAACAAGTATGTGGATAAGGGTAATATAGTTGATGTACTATTCTTGGTTTTTCAACAACCCTTTGAAAAAAAGTCCCACTAAAGGCTTTCAAGGAAACTAGGCAGTTGTGGAATAAGATAAAAGCTCTGCTTGTGGATCAGAAATTAAAAGTTAGGAAACAAAAGGCAGCTTTCAAGATGGAGAGAGGCAAATAGTGGAGTCTGCTGTACTGGGATCCATGCTGTAGAGTGTATTCATCAGTGATTTTGAAAAGAGAGTGAACAGTAAAGTAGCAAAATTTGTAAATGATATGAAATTATTCAAGATAGTGAAGTTGAAAGCTGACTGAAGAATTCCAGAGGGATCTCACAAAACTGAGTGTCTGGGTAGCAAAATGGCTGAAGAAATTCAACACAGATAAGTGTAAAGTAATGCACAGTATTTCCCCAGTCTCAACTACACACTCATATATAAATGGTTTACCACTGAAGAAAGGTATCTTGGCATCACCACGGACTGTTCTTGGAAAACTTCAACTCAGTTCATAGCATCAGTCAAAACACCTAACTTAGTGTTGGGTACCATTACAAAGGGATAGATAAAACACAAAATACCATAATACTGCTATATAAATCACGGTGCCCTTCCCCTTTGAATTTTGTGTGTAACTCTAGTCACCCATTCTCTAAGCAGGAGTGGGCAATAATTTTTGACCGGGGACCACTTAAGAAATGTTTGAAGTGGCCCTAGGCTGCCCTGAAAGGGGCAGGGCCTAAGGCAGAAGGGGTGGGGCCAGGACACTTCTGTGCTTCCCCACCCACAGACCCTGATTAGTCTGGGGGTGGGGGAGCATGCAAAGTCATTGCCTCCCCATCCTCCCCCAGAGAACCGCCAGCTGTTCTGAACAGTTGGCAGTTCCTTCTAGATACCCACGCCCCTGGCAGTGGGAGGAGACTTCACGTGCTCCCTCTGCTGCCCACAGGTGAATCAGGACCTGGGGAGGAGGAGCATGTGAAGTCTCTCGCTCGGGAGCATGTGAAGTCTCTCGCTCTTTGCCACCACTCTGCAAGGGAGTGCCGCTGGTGTTTGACTCTAAGCGTGGTGCTCCCTTGCAGGACAGGGGCAGGGAGTGAAAGACTTCATGTGCTCCCCCTCTTCAGGCCCTGATTGACCTAGGGCAGCAGGGGGAGCATGCAAAATCTCTTAATTAGTCTGGAGGCGGGGAAGAGGGGGAGAGGTGGTGCGCACAAAGTCTCCTGCCCTGCCAGAAGCATGCGGCGCTTCTAAGCACTGTGCAATCCTTGCAGGGTGGGAGCAGGGCAGGAGGAGAATTTGCGTGCTTCCCCTGCCCCCAGGCCCTGATTGGCCTGGGGGAGGGGCAGGGCCTCCGCTGGCTGGATCCAGCCCATGGAGGCCCTTTTGCCCACCCTCGCTCTAAAGCTTGTGTTCCCAAACTGCCCCGGGGGGGGGGGGGGCACAAGGTGACCCAGCTCCCCCCTTTCCCAATCCCTGAACCACTGAAAGGATATTGTGTAATTGGGAAAGGATCAGAAAGGGCAGCAAAAATGAACAGAGGGCAGGGAGAGGCTTCTGTACAAGCAGAGACTAAAAGAGTTAGGGCTGTTCAGCTTAGAAAAGAGACAAAGGTGGGCAGGGGCATATATTAAAAGTCTATAAAATCATGAATGGTTTGGAAAAAAATAATAGAGAAGTTGTTTTACCCTTTCTGACAAAAGCCAGGAATCACCCAGTGAAACTAATAGGCAACAATTTAATGCAAACAAGAGGAAATACTTTTTCACACAGTTAACCTGTGAAGCTCATTGTCTTGTGATGTTGTGATAGCCAAAAGTATAACTGGTTTCAGAAAAAGACCTACGTAAGTTAAAAGAGGATAGATCTATCAATGGCTATGTGCCAAGAGGGTCAGAGATGCAACACTGTGGATGGATAACCCCCCAGATCTCTGACTACCAGAAATTGTAAGGAGAGGATGGAGTACCTCATTTCAAAATTGTCCTGCTCTTTCAGTTCTTCCTAAAGCTCTTGTACTGGCCACTATTCAAAATTATATACTGGATTAGATGAACCATTGGTTTGACCTATATGGCAGTTCTTATGATCAGTTAGTTTCTCTACTCTTATCTGCATCAGTGGATCATTTTCCTCAACAGTGTTTGTTTCCTCCAGTGTTTTGTGCAATCTAGCTTTGTGTCCTATGTGACCTGGCTTACCTAATGTCCACTAAGGCCATGTCTCCACTTGAGGGAATATCAATGCTGTGGCGGTTGATCTTCTGGGATTCGATTTAGTGGATCTAGTGAAGACACACTGAATCAAATTCTGAGAATGCTCCTGTCAGTGCCGATACTCCTAATCCTCACAAGAAGTAAAGGAAGTCGACGAGAGCGTTTCTCCCATTGACCTCCTGCTGTGAGCATGGTGCCGAAGCTTGGTTTATGGCACGTCAACTCCAGCTGTGTTTTTTACATATCTGGAATTGTGTATCTTAAGCTTATCTTCCCTCATAGTGTGGACCTGGCCTGAGAATTTATTTTAAAGTCTAGTATCTCTCAGTTGAATTTTTTCTTAATTTTAGTCATTTTGGTTTAAAATTATCTATTGCAAATAACACATAAGAGTAGTTAACAGAAGAACATGAAATCAAGTTTCCTTAACTCTTTCTGAAGCTTTGGGTTTTTGTTTTTTGTTTTTTTTTGTTTAGCACCGTGACATCGGCTGTTTTCACAGTGGGTGACAATGTTGTTTCGGGTAGTGATGACCGTACTGTAAAAGTCTGGGACTTGAAAAATATGAGATCTCCTATTGCAACTATCCGTACAGACTCTGCGGTAAACAGGTAAACAAATGATTATTTGAGTTAACAATTTAAAATGTATTGAACCTCAACTTAGTCAATTATCAAGTGAAAACAAAGCTTGGGTTGATTTTGTAACAAGCCTACTTATAAAGCAGATTATTCTACTTTCCTGGGATTTCTGTGGTTAATTATGCATTTGTGTGTGTGTGCAGGTGATCAAGCTTATTCAATAACAATCTTAACTGTAATACACTCATTATACTGTTCATATTTAATAGTAAATATTCAACCACATCACTGCCAATGAATTCAGACTTGTACTGTCAAGTTCTGTTTGTCAGGTTCCGTTTTGTACATAACCTACTTTTATCTTTTCTGTGCAGGATTAATGTATGTGTTGGCCAAAGAATCATTGCCCTTCCACATGACAACCGTCAGGTTAGATTATTCGACATGTCAGGAGTGCGATTAGCACGGCTTCCTCGCAGTAACAGACAGGTAGCTGAATTTCTGGAGTGAAAATGTTGTCAGTTACTGAAAATTAGCATTTAATACAGTACATTTTGACTTTTCTAAACTTGGGGAAATCTTCATATAAACTTTGGAACAGATAATTATTTTTTTTTATTTTTTTAACTGAGTCCACAAAAATGTGTGATGTATATCTTCAGTTTAGCTGGTTTCACCTTGACTTATCTGTTGCTGATGTGTTTCTGATTTTTTTCAGTTTTATAAATGAGGAGATGAATGCTTAAAAATCCCCTTGGGTATGTCTACTCTACCCCGCTAGTTCGAACTAGCGGGGTAGAGTAGACATACCCAAGGGGATTTTTAAGCATTCATCTCCTCATTTATAAAACTGAAAAAAATCAGAAACACATCAGCAACAGATAAGTCAAGGTGAAACCAGCTAAACTGAAGATATACATCACACATTTTTGTGGACTCAGTTAAAAAAATAAAAAAAAATAATTATCTGTTCCAAAGTTTATATGAAGATTTCCCCAAGTTTAGAAAAGTCAAAATGTACTGTATTAAATGCTAATTTTCAGTAACTGACAACATTTTCACTCCAGAAATTCAGCTACCTGTCTGTTACTGCGAGGAAGCCGTGCTAATCGCAGCTCCCCGCTTATGCAAATGAAACCCGGGAAATTCAAATCCCGGGCTTCATTTGCAAGTGCGGTATGCCTACATTAGCCTCCTAGTTCGAACTAGGAGGGTAGTGTAGACATACCCCTAAAGTCTAAATGTAGAGTATCATCTATCGATCTATCAATCTTAGAACATGGATCTGCTCTGAAAAGTGATTTGACTACAGAACATCTTGAAATTCCTTGTTTCTCAGTGATTGCATATTACATTTGTTTAGTTTATAAGGAAAAAAATGCGTCTGTCCATCCTGCAAACTGAAATTTTTTGTAGTAATGCTTTTTTTCCCCATGCTTGTTCTAATATCCATTTTGTATTTGAGATTTAGCAATAGAACTGATGGGTAGGTAAAAAAAAAATCCAAAACAAACCAAAGCCATTTTCTTTCTTTTTGTATAAGTTCTGGAGGAGTGTAGTAGTAAAATCATGAAAAATTAGCTGGTATGACTCAGAATTTACACAAATAGACAGTCATTTGTTCTAACAATAACTACCACTTAAAATTAGAGTGAACTTACTTAATACTTCAATTATATAGAGTCTTTCAAGTATTCCGTGGGGCCTAAAAGTATGTTACAAACTCTGCAGCTTACAACATTGCTGTATGGTACTATGTATAGTCAATGGGTCGCTTACATCCCTAGGTGGGCAAGATCAGTTAGACAGACAGGACCCAGGTTATTGATGATTCAGTCATTAATACTCTACAATCTGAGCTAGAAGTACCAGTGTCCCTGCATGGTTTTAAGAGATACTGTGTGGCTGAAGAACTTACCTTTCAGGTGAGACATGATCTTTAGGAGGGATAAAGATCATGGAAGGGATAGCTTTGGGGGCAGGGATAGCTCAGTGGTTTGAGCATTGGCCTGCTAAATCCAGGGTTGTGAGTTCAATCCCTGTGGAGGCTATTTAGGGATTTGGGGCAAAAATTTGTCAGGGATGGTACTTGGTCCTGCTGTGAAGGCAGGGGACTGGACTCCATGACCTTTCAAAGGTCCCTTCTAGTTCTAGGAGATAGGCAATCTCCATTAATTTATTTTTGTATGTATTTAATTTTAGGATCCATATTAGGGTGCCTCTGTACAACAACAACAGCAGCAAAAAACTATAGCAGTGTTTCGTGAGGTCAGCTGATTTGGGCACATGCTACAGGGCTAAATATAGAAATGTTGACAACTCTGTCCATCTATCTATACAAGCGACACCATCACAGGACCTAATCACATAAGGCACACCATCAGGGGCTCATCCACCTGCACATACACTAATGTGATCTATGCCATCATGTGCCAGAAGTGCCCCTCTGCTATGTATATTGGCCAAACTGGACAGTGTCTGCGCCAAAGGATAAATGGACACAAATCAGACATCAAGAAAGGCAACATATAAAAACCAGTAGGAGAATGCTTTAACCTTCCTGGACGCTCAATAATATATTTAAAAATAGCTACCCTTCTACAAAAAAACCCCTTCAAAACCAGACTACAGAGAGACAGCAGCGTTGCACTTCATTTGCAAACTTAACATGATCAAATTAGTACCGAATAAGGATTTAGGGTGGTTATTTCACTACAGAAGCAATTTTCCCTTTCTTGGTATTCATACCTCATCAGGTGCTAGAAGTGAGCCACATCCACCCTGATTCAATTGACCTCATTAACATTGGTCCCAGGCTTGACAAATAACTTCCCTTCTTTTAGTATACTAGTACATATACCTCTGTAATTTCCACTCCAGTGCATCTGATGAAGTAGTTTTAACCCTTGAAATATTATGCTAAATGAATCTGTTAGTCCTTAAGGTGCCACAGAGCTCCTTGTTTTTATAGAATGTTCACATTCAGGATTGGGCTGGAGCTCAGGCTTTGATACCCAGTGAGAGAGGGTTAATCTCGTGCCTGAGCCCAAACTTCTCCTCTGCTATATTTAGCGCCTGGATCAGTTGATCTGGGCTCTGAAACTCTCTGCCATAGGGTGTTTTGTTGTTGGTAGACACACTGTTAGAGGACAGTATTTGAGAGACAAGTTGGTCAGTTTATCTCTTGTACTTGGTGTAACTAAAAACATCATTAATCCTGTTTTAATTTTTAAATGCATCAGGAAAGTAATTTAAGCAGGTTGCAGCAACACAGCTCAACAGAAGATTGAGGATTAAATTGAGGATTTTCATGCTTCTTAATAGATCTTTAAGATTATAGATATGGGGTGGGGATTGAAAGTTTTTTGTGCTCTTTGCTATTATATTTGTAATATAATTTTTTGCAAGCCATAAGTAAAAGGAATAAAGTCCTTCAGGACTTGTTGAAACCCAAGTATTTCTCTAGAATTTCTCTATTTCTGTACAATGTAGATTTGTCTAGACTGTAAATGTTATTTTAGGTTTGTAATACTTCAATAACAGCAGCACAGATCTGTACAGTCAGACTAAAATGATTTTGAAAGTTTTTGTAGAAAGTTTCATTATGCCCAGTGCATGCTTTTCTAAACAAAGCTATTTTTTCTTTCATGATATTCCTGAAAATGATATTCCACGTCAGACTTCATACCATTAAAGCTTTCATTTTACAAACTATCATGGTCTAGAGCAGGGACTATTAACTTCCTTTTTTTGCATGCACTAAAACTTGCCAAATGTGCTTGATTAAATATGAGAGCTATTTTTTTTTTGCCAGAAGTATTCATGGCAGTAGAGTGACTGAGAATTTTTAATAAAAATTAAAAATATTTTGGGTTCTGTTAAACACTGGAACTCAAGATACTAGAAGGTTCATCCTGGTATAAATTGTTAGATCATATAAAAATACATTTCAGTAGGTTATTTGGCACATGCAAACAGGTACATCAGTTCATCACGAATTAGTATAGTTAATAGGTTGCTAATTTAAAAAATGTTCCTTGTTTAATACTAATTTATTCATTTAAATTATAATAGGGCCATAGAAGAATGGTATGCTGTTCAGCTTGGAGTGAAGACCATCCAATATGTAACCTCTTTACCTGTGGGTTCGATCGTCAGGCTATTGGCTGGAACATCAACATCCCTGCACTGTTGCAGGAAAAATGAAATGCTGGAAAATTTTTTGCTTTTGTTGCCATGGACTTGTAAAACTCTCTTTGCAGACTCTTCTGAATATTTGTCTGCCTTCGTTGTAAAAGTTCTCCCTTAAGAGGAGTGCTTTGCAGATGTTATTGTTACCACATTGTGCACCATTTGCATGTAATGTACAGAAAATGTGACTTTTTAAAAAATTAAGTTTGTCTTGTGTATGAATTTTTATATCTTAGCATCCACTGGTCAGTAGAAAGGAGGTTCACTGATATATAGAGCACATATGTGTTCATAAGTTATTCAGCATTTGCTAGATGAACAATAAGGCATTACACTTATGACTTAAATGTGAAATTTATATACTAATTGTGAAGAATATATAGTAGTATATTGCATTTTCCATAATTTTACATATCTGCCTTGTGTTAAAAGGATTCTGCAGGTCTGAACTTCAAGAAGTGTGAATTTCAGTAATAGTATCATGGTAAACATTTTCTTGTTTGCATATGTCTGAAGTATGATTTTTAATGATGCAGTGTAGTGTACCTTCAACTCCAATTTTATTCTAGTTACTGGATAAAAAACATGAATTTGAGCGAGAAAAAACAAGCAACCTCTTGTGTGCATAGAATGCTGCATTAAAACATTCAGGATGTTTTTGTACATTTCTTGAAAAAGAACAAGGAAATTTTCATTCTGCTCTTTGTCCATAAAGCTCGTTCCAATCTGATAGCACCTCACACTAGCAAATAGCCAAAATATTATGTTTCTAATCACTGAAATCTATTCAAGCAAATTTTAAAGCACTTTAGTTTATGGCTATTGTTATAAATCATTTATGAAAATTTCAGCTGTTCCAATGAATGTGAGTTGATTTATACAGGAATGATTTGCCATTTTTTGGTGACCTGTCTGGAAAGGAAACTTTGTTTTTATATCTTCATAAACACATTTTTAAATGGGTTAATTTCCCTAGTTTTTTATTTTCAGTCAGCAATATGAAGAAAATGAGTACTACCTCAGAAAATGAATTTTGGTCAGGATAGGTTGAGTTTTTCTGAAGTCTCGAAAAAGTGCTTTTGGGTCTGTGTCTGAAATGCTGTCTTCAAGATGAGGAAAGACAATCATACCAAATGTGATTTTTAAAATAATTTACACTTATGGCTAATGGGAGAATACCACAGATAAACATTGTCATATTTGTTCTTTCAGTTCTAACTAGGGCTGCTGCAGTCTTTTCTCCATTCCAGAAGGAATAATTTTGTAGCTTTTCCCTCCGTACTCCCAAGTGATCTTACGCTGACTTGACTCTTCACTGTGTTTAGCCTTGTTATAATGGTAATGTGTTGAGTTATTGCCAGCTGTTGGTCAAATAAGCAAATTCATGTGGCAGGTGACATTTTCAGAGGGAGTGGAGAGGCTGCTTCACACAGACCTTTTAGCTGCCCCTAACTGTCTGACATATCACAGCATAAGATGAAAGATCAAAGTAATCTGATGGTGGCTTTTTATAGAATAGGCCGAGTTTAAAGCGGATTGCCACAAGACATTAAGTATTATGATCTTTTAATCACATACTTATGATAATATGAAGCAATAGCCGAGCTTGAGTCCTCTGCAAAATTGTTTAGATTGAAGTTGAAAGGCTGATGTGTTAACTGGATCTTTCATTTGTTAATATCTGAAGGCATGATGATGGAGTAGGAGGGAAGAATAAATGCATCATTAAGTAAATATGAAAAAATTGGGGTTCTAGAAGTAAGCTGAAGCATAAAACTGTAAAAGAATAGTAAGGGGTGAGGTTGTTAATAGGGAGGTTATAAGAGAATGTATATAGTGACTTCATAGAGCAGAAAATTTTTCAGTAGCTTGATTTGTTTTTTCGGAGTTACTATATATATGTAAACTGGAAGACTTGTCACAACTGACCCACTCTCATACTTATCAGTAAAAGGTTCAGGTGATCAGCTGCAGGCTTTAACTGCTGGTGTCAGAAGACATATTTAAAAGACACTGGCACAGTGTCTTCAGTAATTTTTATTTACTTTTTTTTTCTAATAATTTGGAAGATGGAATTTAAACTCAGATTTTTTTACTTTCCTGGGAATGCACACTGGCTTGGTGTTGGGCTGCAGACATGCTTTTTTAAAAAATGACTAAAACATCTGTCAGAGGAAAGACGATAAATATAAGCACAGAGACAGTCTGGATGCTTAAAAAACAATTGACACTTTTCCCATGTTCACCTCTTCCTAATGGAATCAGATGAGTTACATGTTGGTCCATGACCAGTATCCTAAGCAATGATTAACCATTTAGTTTGCATGGATTTGACAAGCTTAGGTTAAAGGGAAGATTAATAGTGATGCTACTATCCCAAACTATTGTTAACATATACATATGTAACATGGGACCATTGGTATCTATGCCATTTAATTGCCATTACTTCCTGAGGCTGCTGACCTTTATAACACCAGATACATCAACCTCTAATACAAGAAATAAGTATACACTAACTCATTTTCTTTGGGGATGGAATTGGGGGAACCAGCCAAGGTGCTAGATATTGTACCGTCTTTTAACTTTTAAACTTGGATGTAATAGTGAGGCCATAAATTTCCCCTTCCATTAAGACAAAGATTGGTGGTGAACAATGTTACACTGACAGAATGTGTAATAATTTCAGTTTTGGCCATGCATGGAAACAGGAGTGCTCTAAAGAGAGCTAATCAATGCTGATTTAATTGTCAAGCTTTTCATAAAATGGAGGAAGGTTGCTGTTACATATTTTCAGTATTGATGCAGAACTTCACTTGGTTGCATCACTGGGCAAAAACAAATATTTTATGTGCATGCTTTTTTTGGGGGGGGGTGTTTCCCCTAAAGCAGGGCACATCGGTTTTCACAGACTCAATTCTGTACATGTTTTGGAGTCAAAATAATTTGGTGTGAAACATCTTATTTGTTGTGTAAGTCTGTGAAAGTCACTTTCTTTTGGAAAAGATCCTGAATTTATAAATGTTATGTGAAATTACTTGTTTTTATTTACTTGTATTCTTCTGATTGTTTTTAGATGTTTAGTGTTTCTTCATTACAGTTTGAAAATACATTAAATCATTCAACAGTGTTTTGTAACTTACTGTTCATAAACTCTGTCTTCGTTATCTTAGTATTGCCGATACCTCAGTATTTCAGTCTATCAGAAAGTAATTCCCTGTACCACCATCATTTTCATCCCTGGTCTCTTTCTTCTCTTCTCATTCTGTTTCCAAGGGAATTAAGGGAAGATTGCTGTTGGAAAAGGGCTAAAACTGCTCCTGAAAATATGATTTCTATGCTGTAATTTGCTATGCTGACAGTTCAATGTGGATTAAAAAGGGCTTCAGATATTTTTTATTTCCATTTTTTCCAGTTCCGTACAAGCAAGTCTTTAATTGCATCTTGTTGCACAGATTATAAATATCCTCCATGTGTTTTTTTCCCAGAAATGTATAAAATTGATTTTTGTGTTTGAAAGAAACTATTTTTAAAACAGGTACAGCATTATTTTAATTTGTGTAGCACCTTTCCGATTATCAATTTAGAGACGGAAAGAAACCACCGATCTCACTTAAAATAAACTGAAAGCAAGTTTAAGTAATCTTGTAGATTAGAACATCCTTGTAAAATAAAGAATTGCAGTTACTATAGAAACACCTAGCAGAGTTCAAATCCATCCTAAAATGTTCATGTAGAGTCATCAGTAAAATGTAACCATTCCACATTGTTCTTTCTGGTTCCACAAGCAAAGCAGGGAACTAGTTGGTTGTGAGAAATATTATTTTGGGAGGAGACTATACAAACTGATTGCTAGGGGAACTGAGGAGGGACCTCAGACTACCTGAGTGAGGAGAGTTGAGATGTAGTGAGAATTGGTGCTGATGGGAAGATTAGGCAATGGGAATATGAGTTGCAGGAATACTTGGAAGAAATGTCTAGAAGTATAAGATTAGGACATGATAGGCAAGAAGATGGGGGCTAGGATGAGAAGCCTGAGGAGTAGAGACATGGAACATCTAGGTGAGGAAGGAGAATGGGACTTGGATGAGGAGCACAGGGTGGGAAAGGTGATGGGACAGGTTGGAGATAAGAGGATGGAATGGGTCTTGTTTTAAGAAAACAGATGGAAGTCATAAGAAGGGCCATACAGGGCCAGACCCACAGTCCTTCTAACCCAGTATTCTGTCTTCTGACAGTGACCAATGCCAGACTCCCCCGAGGGAATAAATAAAACAGGTGATCAAGTGATCCATCCCGTTGCCCATTTCCAGCTTCTGATAAACTGAGGTTAGGGTACTATCTGTGCCCATCTAGCTAATAGCCATTGATGGATTTATCCTCCATGAATTTAATCTAGTATTATTTTGAACCCTGTTGTAGTGTTAGCCTTCACAACATCATGTGGCAAGGAGTTCCACTTCCTTTTATTTGTTTTAAACCAGTTACCCATTAATTTAATTTGGTGACCCTTAGTTCTTCTGTTATGGAAAGGAGTAAATAATTTTTCTTTATTTTCAACTTTTCCACACCAGTCATGATTTTATAGACCTCTATCATATCTCCCCTTAGTAATTTTTTCCTAATACTTTTTGTTGCCCTTTTCTGAAATTTTTCCAGTGCTAAGGTATCTTTTGTGACATGAGATGACCAGATCTGTGCTCAGTGTTCAAGATGTGGGCGTACCCTGGCTAGAGGCAATAAGATATTGTCTTATTCTCTAGCCCTTTAATGATTCCCAGTATTGTTTGTTTTTTTGATTGCCACTGCACACTGAGTGGATGTTTTCAGAGAACTATCTACAATGACTTCAAGAGCGCTCTCTTGAGTGGTCATGGCTAATTCAGTCCCCATCATTTTGTAGATATGGTTAGGATTATATTTTCCAATATACATTATTTTGCATTTATCAACATTGAATTTCATCTGCCATTTTGTTGCCCTGTCACGTACTTGTGTGATATTTTATTTAGCTCTTCAGTCTGCTTTGGACTTCAGTATCATGAGGAGCTTTGTGTTATCTGCAGATTTTGCCACCTCATTGTTTTCCCCTTTCTCCAGATCATTTATGGATATGTTGAATAGGATTGCCATATGAGGAGATATTAAGGAATTCTTCCATCAACCTAGCAGTGTCTGCACTGGGGCTTAGCTTGGCTTTGTTACACAGGCTGTGAAGTTTTTCACATTACTGAGCAATATAATTAAACTACTTAAATCTAGTGTAGACCAGCTCTGAGTGTGTCCACACTTTTAGTTGTCAGTGCAAAGCTCTCTTGTCTAGCAAGTTCTTAGTTCTCAGAAGAACAAAAAGCTAGTCCTCGCTGTAGTAAAATGAAGGCCTAAAACACAAGCCTTTGTAGCACAAGCCTGGTCTGAGGCCTGAGCCCTAGCTAATAACAGACAAAACATGGCTAACATAAAGCAAAGCTAAGCTGTGGGCAAGAGTCAGGCCCCTGCTCACAGAACTTGGCACAAACAGGGCTGAGAGTGCAAAACGCTACTTGATAATAGGCCTAGGTATAGAATAGTAATTGGTACTGCTCATAAGTTGAAAGCACATGGTACCACTAGCTCATTGAAAAAAGAATTGGTACCCACTCCTCACAGATACAGACCCAGGTTCAGGAAAGGGTCTAAAATGACAGCATGATGGCTAGAAATGATCTAATCAAATCATGAGGTACAGAGTGATGGGTGGTATCTAAGTAGTGCTGATCCTGGATTGCTTGCTGTAACTGAAGAAATTGGGTTTATCAAGTAGCCCATCAAAGTTCATTGTTCTTATTTAAGGTTTTATTAGCTGTAAAATGTTCTTAGTGTTAAGTGCTCAGGCGCTGGGCTGGTTTCCCATCCCTGGTGCACCCGGCAGGGCATGCCAGGGCCCCACTGCATCAAGCCTTGTGAGAAGTGCCGGAAGCCTATGCCCTGTGGGGATCCTCACCCAGACTGCCTTAAGTGCCTGGGAGAGGCCCACTTTTATAAGGCCTGTAAGATCTGCAAGGCCCTACAAGCCATGTATCAAGCAGGACAGGGAGTCTCGCTTGAGAGGTGGCCTTACATCTGGCACCTATAACCCAGAGTGCAACAGTGTCGGTGTGCAAGGCACCTAGCCATTCTCGCGCCTCCCTGGCATCATGCAGGCCTCTCAGAAGTCAAGGAGACCAAGCAGGGGCAGATCTCCCTCGAGGCATGTGCCCTCTGTGCACTCTCAAGTGGGATACAAGGCATCAGGACCTTTGTGGTCGGATCAGCACCGTTTGAGTCTGTGCTGTGATGCTAGCCTGGTGGGGGTCTTTCTGGAGTCCTCCACTCTGGGTATCTTTGAAGAAGCAAGAGAGCTAATTGAGCTGACCTCTTCCCCAACCCCGGCACCAGACCCAGGATCCAGATGGCACCACCTCATGGCTTTAAGGCCCAGCGCTCTAGCCCCAGACTCTAGAGGGTGCCATCATTCTGCCGTGGTGCCAATAAACTTGACCCCAGTCCTGGGTGTGGCACCAAATCCAACACCAGCCATACCGAATCCAACACCAACCTCAACACCAGCCATAGCCCCCACCCCTTCTTGAGCACCCTCACCAACATTGGAGTTGGCACCAATGTAGTGCCCTAAAGCGGCACTGGGGGCAGCACCACGTCCCGCAACTGCTGGCCCTTCTGTGGGTGCATTGGCACCATCGCTAGCTGTGCCACCGCCGCCGCTTCAGCACTGGGAAAAACCAGAGTCAATGGCTTGGTACACCCCATCCGGGAGGTTGCCAACTGTCACTGCTACTGCACTGCTATAGTTGACCTTAGAGTACTCAACAAACTCTGATACGGAATCAGTCTGGTCATCCTGGGATTCCAGGTCTTGATCCAGACATTGGTCCTACTCTAGTCATCATTCTCAGCACTAGTGCCTCAGTGCACCACCAGCAGCAGTAATGGCCTCCGCCTATCTGTGCTGGTGTTACACCAGTATTGGCCACCTTTAGGTGCAGGCTCCCATCCAATGGCCTTTTTGGCCTCCCTGGACCTACCATCAGAGCCAAGGGATGGGCCCCTCCAGATCTAAGTTGGTCTTCTCAGGGCTGAAGGCTTTCCCCCCCCCCCAACGACCCCACTGACCAGCTCACTGACATCAGGACAGTCCCTTTCCCTGGGCCAGGCTTCCCCAGAGCATCACTACGAAAAGGGGCCTCAGCCTCACCTCTCAGTCTGTTACTCTCTTCTGTGATCTCACAAGCCCCATCGCAATCTTGAGATCCGGAGGCAGTAGGCATGAAGGGGTCCTCGTTGTCCTTACCTGGTGAGGCACTTGGCATCCATAGACTTAAGGTTCCATCAGGAACTCCTTCACTGATTGACTCAGAGTTTGGGAATCCAGATGGAGAAGGTGTCAGAGGATTCGGACCCTGCAGTTGACATCCTGACGACCTACATAGGATCAAAGGACTACAGTTACTATGTGTGCTCAACTACCTGCTCCATGTCTTCTCCATTTCAGAGATTCCTCTATGGGATTTTGGGATAGAGAAGGAAATGAAGGTGGTTCACCTGTACTGCTCTTTATAGCTTTGGGTCAGGACATGAGGATGCATAGAGCTCTTGTGCTGGCTGAATGAGCACTGTTAGTAAATTTCACTGATTGAAGGTGCATGTGAAATGGAGCAGAGGGATGCACATCTCCAAGTACCACAGTTACTGCACAGGGTGAGAACTATCCTTCCTGTGGCTAAAATGGAATAACTCAAATCTAAATTTTATTTTGACTCCTGTAGTACAAGGCCCTGACTACTTTAATAACAGGTTTCTGGACAAGTAGACATATGGTCAATAAAGCTCATATTTATGTGTCTGTTCTCTGCAGATTTAAGGAACCAGCTGTTCCTGAAACCTTAGAGGGAAATATATTGTTTTGGGCAGACTATTCGATGGGTGGAAGGAGAGTATTCTTGCGTGAGCGTCTCTACAAAATTGCAGCTTGAAAACTTAAAATCGTTTGTTACATGACATAATATGTGAATGACAAAGGAGAGTTTTGAAAGGCCAATGACTAAACAAGCTGTAGAATGAGCACTGAAGACTGCTGCCGAGCAGGAAAGCATCTGGCAAAGATGATATTCGTAGTGACACTATGAAAGATACAGAGAGTCAACAGCAGAACTGTTCAGATTTCACTATAGACAAAACATTGTTCAGGATGCCTGAAATAACACTATTACGCTGCACAAAAAAGGTGCGTTCAGAAACAGGTTAAGCCACCTCTACATCTTTCCATATTTTCTAGAATGTAATGTGCTTGTGGCAATAATGGATTTTAACCAAGCAAGTGAGCAAATGGATGTGCATTTGAGTAGGACATAAT